GTGTTTCTTTGGCTTGGGGCATTGATGTGCTAGATGACCAAGTTCTCCACAATTATAGCAATCCATCTCCGAGATTGGCTTCCTTCTATTGCTAGTGAAGAACTTCTTCTTCTTGCCATCAAATTTGACACCGTTATTGTTGAGCTTCTTAAGCATCTTGGCGGTTCTTCTCACCATGAGAGCAAGACTTGCATCATCAATTTCATCATCACTAGAGCTCTCATATTTAACTCTTGCTTTGCCCTTCTCTTGGCTAGCCTTGAATGCCAAGTCTTTCTTCTTGGTGGAGGAAGAGCCATCTTGTGGTGTGATGTACATATACATTTCATGTGCATTGATTTTTCCCAATATTTGTGTTGGGGTAGCGGTGGAAAGATCACCTTGATGAAGCACAGTCACAATGTGCCCATACTTGTCAATGGGGAGGACACTCAAGATCTTTCTTACAACATCGGATGGTGCTATTTGTGTAAGTCCAAGCACATTGACTTCCTCTACAAGAACATTTAAGCATGAGTACATCTCATTAGCACATTCTTTAGGAAGCATCTCAAAAGAATTAAGCTTTTTCATGACAAGATGATAGCGTTCCTCACGCTCACTCTTTGTTCCCTCATGGAGCGCACAAATGTCCGACCATAGTGCATGGGCGTCCTTGTGGTTCCGCACACGATTAAACACATCTTTGCAAAGGCCTCTAAAGATGGTCTTTTTAGCCTTTGCATTCCATTTCTCATAATTGACTTCATCGCCTTGAAGGTGTGTGGGATCCTTAGGTTTTGGGAAACCTTGAGAGGCGGCTCTAAGAATTCCAACATCTAGAGCTTCTAAGTAAGCCTCCATGTGGATTTTCCAATAAGAAAAATCATCTCCGTCAAAGATAGGAGGAGGTCCATCCCCGTGGGACATCTTTCTCTAGGCGGTTAAGCCTAAATTCGTGAGCACAAGGCTCTGATACCAATTGAAAGGATCAAGATGCCCAAGAGGGAGGGTAAATTGGGCTAATTCTAAAATTCTTTGCAATAATTAAACCCTACACTTAGCCCACTTCACCCCTTGTGTCTAGAATGTGATTCTATTGATCTACCATACAAAAGTTTAGCACCATAAGTTCCAATCCTACTCTAGCATGGCAATTCTAAGAATTTAAAGACAAGAAATGAATTGCTCAAATGTAAATACTTATAGTAAAGAGAGGAGAAGGAACGCGGCGATGTTTTTGTCGAGGTATCGGAGAGTCGCCACTCCCCACTAGTCCTTGTTGGAGCACCCGCGCAAGGGTGTAGCTCCCCCTTGATCCGTGCAAGGATCAAGTGCTCTCTACGGGTTGATTCTTTGACACTCCATCGCGGTGAATCGTCCACAACCGCTCATAACTTGAGTTGGGTCATCCACAAGCTTCGCTGGATGATCACCAAACTCCTGATCACCACCAAGCCATCTAGGTGATGGCAATCACTAAGAGTAACAAGCACAAACTCTCACTTGACCACAACAAGCCTAATGAGAAGGGTGGATGCACGCTTGCTACTCTCCTTGCACTAATGAGGCTTTAATCTTGGATTCTCAAATCTAAACCATCTCACTAGGCTCTTGCTCTCTTTTGCACTCTCAAGGGTATTTCACAGCTGAACAAATGGGCAAGAGACATCCCTTGGATGAATAGAGGAAGTATTTATACCCTCTCATTCAAAATGAACCGTTAGGAGGTTGAGTCAGCACTCTACGGGGTGACCGGACGCTCCGATCAAGGTGACCAGACGCTCCGATCAGTTATCCCCGCCACAGAGCCGTTAAGTTGTGACCGGACTCTGACCTGCGTCCTGCAACACTGACCGGACGTGTCCGGTCATGAAAACTGCTCTCTGGAACCTTACTGATGTTGATCGGACGCTGGCACCCAGAGTCCGGTCACTTCCCTGTTCAGTGTCCGGTCAGTTACCAGATCCTGACCAGCGTCCGGTCAGCACTGACCGGACGCGTCTGATCAGGAATCTCCCTCTCTAGAACCTTTCTGGAGTTGACCGGACTCAGGAACCCAGCGTCTGGTCGCAACCAGATGGCTCTAGTTGACCAAATGAACTGACCGGACTCACCCTTCAGCATCCGGTCACAACCAGACCAGCGTTCGGTCAGTCATTTGACCCTCCATTCACTTTCAATTCAAAATCATATGTGAATGAAGTTTGCTCCAATTGATCTTAGGGCTACTCCTGAGCTTCCTAGTGCTAGATTTGACAAGTGTGCACCACACCTAACCCACTAGACTCACCTAGGTCAAGCTACTAGTCCATACCCCCTTAATAGTATAGCTAAAGAAAAAATAAAGTCCTAAACTACTCTAAGTGTCTCTTCAACACCAAACGACACTTAGAACTAGTCCATCCTTAACCTTGTCATCCATCCATTGAAAACCGAAACAATTTCCATCGTAGGGGCATGACAACCATGATTGCCCAATCAATTGCTATTATCATGACCTAACTTAATTGCCTCTGCAAAACCACGTTAGTCATAGTAATCTCGTATTGTCATTAATCACCGAAACCCAACTAGGGGCCTAGATGCTTTCACGAGCCAAGACAAAGGGTTGGAAGGAAAAGTTGCTGAGTATGGGAGGAAAAGAAAATCTTATAAAGTCTATCGCTCAAACCGTGCCAGTCTATGCGATGATAGTTTTCAAAATCCCAAAAAACATCTGTAAAGGGATTTCAGACACCATATCACAGTTCTGGTGGGGTGATGAATATGACCATAAGAAGATTCATTGGAAGGCGTGGTGGAAGCTTTGCATTCCTAAGAAGAGAGGAGGTATGGGTTTCAGAGATTTGGAGAGCTTTAATCTTGCGCTGCTGGCCAAACAAATGTGGAGACTGTTGCTTGAACCGGATTCACTTTGTGCTAGAGTGCTAAGAGCAAGATACTATCCTGATGGAAAATTGTTAAATGCAAAATTAAATAGTGGGAGTTCATATACTTGGCAAAGTATCCTGGCAGGATTGGAGTGTTTTAAACATGGATATATTTGGAGAGTGGGGGTGGTTCTCAGATTAATATATGGGAGGCTTGTTGGATTCCATCAAGCCATAATCTCAAAATTATGACACCAAGGGGAAACAATTTAGTCATGGAGGAGTTAATCAATCCAGTGACGGGTTATTGGGATGAGGACTTGATCATAGATTTGTTCTGGCCAATTGATGTTCACCAGATCCTACAAATACCATTATCTGTTGGTAGAGAGGACCTTGTGGCATGGCATTATAACCAGAACGGTTTCTTTTCAGTCCGTTCAGCATATCATATACAATGGTCACGTAAATTTGGTGGTAACACGCTACAGGTGCAAGCAAGTGGTGTGGGCGATATTGATATTTGGGGAAAACTCTGGCAATTGCAAGTTCCGAGCAAGATCAAAATTTTTGGTTGGAGGGTCCTGCATGGCGCTATACCATGCAAAGGGATTCTTGCAAACCGACATATAGAGAACTCAAGCAGCTGTTCAGCATGTCATGAGGGATGTGAAAATATTAAACACCTTCTGTTCACCTGCAATCGTGTCAAAGGGATATGGCAACGACTTGGTGTTTGGAACAAGATGGAGAGAGTTCTAGCATCAGATAGACCGGGGTCTGTTTTACTAGCAGATTTCATTAACAACTCTAGACCGGTTATGAATCTAAATCAGGTTGGTCTTGCTGAACTAATACTGACGGGAGGTTGGTATATTTGGTGGGAGCGTAGGAAATTCGTCCACAGTGAGGCCATCCAGCAACCGATGCAGTCAGCTCTCTCAATTGCTTCTTTGACGACAAACTATAAAACTGCTATGAAGAAGTCTATCAAACAAAGAGAGGGATGGAAGAGACCGCCAGAAGGAAAGTTACTGATAAATATAGATGGAAGTTTCAAAGAGGAAAGCAGCAGTGGAGGTACTGGCGTGGTCATCAGAGACTCAAAAGGAACATTCATTGCAGGATCTTGTAACTATATGGAACATGTGGTGGACGCCCCAACATCAGAGGTAATGGCGCTAAAGGAGGGACTTTTGTTAGCATAGCGGATTGGATGTAATGGTTTCATCATACAATCAGACTGCATGGAAGTCGTGGAAACTATGAGACTTGGGATCTCGTTTGCTACAGGTGCACCAATTTATGATGACCGTTTCCTCCTATGACAAGACTTTGAAGCTATCTCCATTGAGCATTGTGATCGGGAAGCGAATACGGTGGCACACGAAATAGCTAGAGTAGCTTTATCTTTGAAAGATAATTGTATTTGGGTTGATGAACCCCCCCTAATTTTCTTTTTGAACCTATGGTAAACGATGTAATCATGTTTGATAATCAATAAAGTGTGCCACATGGCTTTCCTCAAAAAAAATCATGGTGTTGGACTTGTGCCAATTTGATATGTGCATTTCAATGATTAGTAAGGGGTTGTCCTGGTTGTAATGAACTGGTGGTGTAGTTGAATGGGCTGGCTGCTGTTGTTTGAATTTGAAATGCATTAAATGATGTATTTGGCGCCTTTTTTTTAATTGAATTGGCTGCAGTTGCTGTTCGGCTGGAGCTTGGCTGAATCTTGGTACTGTTCAATGTGGCTGAATTCAGCCGGAAATTTTACCAGCCGACCGGGGCCTATGGAAGCAAAGAGGCAAACGGCACATCTGCACGGGTCGTCCGATGGAACGGACGCCTGACTCCTAGCAATACTGTTTTCTAATACTGAATTTTTCCAATTATTCCATGAATTTTATACACCCCAAATGGACGACTGCCAGTAAATGATAAGTTCATTAATTACACACTGACATGTAACTAGTACAAAAACTGCTGGCCATCTCTTTAGCTGACCGACAATATGAACAATCAAGCTTCGGTAGAACTGTACTGTTTATTTTTCTGATGACTGAATTTTCAGATCAATAACATGTTATATGTGTATATGGACCAAGCTGTCGTAGAAAACTATACTGCCAGTTGAGCACCAGCTTATTATTGCAAAAGGGATTCAACTACTGAAGTCACGGTTTTGGTTCCCCCTCGCTCAAGCAAAGAGAGGGCAAGATCACCCTCGTGCCATCTCTGAAGCCCAGATGCCAATTTCTGTAGCGTCTTTAGCTTCACTTCAGGAATCCATGTGGGCACAAAGTTGACCAGCAAGTTGACAAAACAGAGAACATAGGACCTCCATGTGGTATCGCCACAGCCCAGCACAATGTTACCCTCCATTACCCTGGCCATGAACTCCAAGTGCCTATCGACAACCTGTTGCCTTTTTGATGTGTATATCCAAGTGTAAGCTGGCGACGTTTCTCCGACTCCCCAGATGCTTGCACCCGAAAAGAGGAGAACATAGGCTAATGTGTATCCTTCGATTATGCTGCATACCTGACCAGCGGAACCAAGCTTAGCTTTTCCACCTGAAAGCAGCAGAGTGGGGATAATCTGCTCGTAGAGGAGACGAATCAAATTCATCCCACCAGCATGACAAAGCATAGTTGCTGCAAGTGATGCTATCTGCTCTACCAAGGATGATGCAGCTGATAGCGGCAAACAGTCTGACCTCAAACGAGCAGGTCTATCAGAACTACAAGCATTTGCTAGCGCATGGGCTCTCTCAATGACCACCTCCAAAATCTCTTCACAAACAAAGCTGTTATTTGGAAATAACCAGCAAGATCTCATGTAAAGAAATCCTGGTGCTACAGCAAGCCTGTGGGCTTTTTCATCAAAAGTCTGCCCCAGCAGATTAGCAACTCCTCTGTTTGCTACGAAGCAGGAGCGCCCATCAACCAAAGGCCCAAGGAAAGAAGAGAAGCAACTCCTGATCAGTTGTGCCACCGCGGTGTTATCTTGAGTGAAGGGGGACTGCGAACAAGTCAGGATGATGAAATCATGCCACCGCCGTACTTTTTGGGACCACAATGCACCTATAATTTGCGAAGAGGGCCATGAACTAGATGTTGTACAAATTTCAATTCCTTGGCCAATGATGCCGTGTAGGTGACTGAATTCCTCCATCTTGACTGTTATTGACAAACTGATTAGCGCTGCTATTGGCAATGGAAGCATTGGCATCACAGAACCTGTAGAAGGATTAAGTGCCCAGTTAAGAGTGTGATATGAGATATTGGCCTGAGAAAAGTTAGTACTATCTTAAATACTGAAAATTATAGATTGTGATAATGTAAATCTAAAGAACAAAAATGAACAAATTACACAAACAGGCATTGACATACGTGGTCGTGGACAGATATTGATATGAACACCAGCAAATGCAAGAACTTCTTTTATCTCCGATTCAACTACTGGAAGAGTTGCAGCTGGACTTGGCCAGTCCATTCCATTCAACATAACTGGCTTCCATATGCCACGAGTGACTTCTGCAGAAAGGTAGCTGACAATAGCAGCAAGTGAAGCAGGCAAGAAATCTGCAAGATCTCTTAGACCTGAAATCAAGTACAATGGTAATATGCTAATAAGTATGCAAGGACAGTTGGAGAGCAAAACTGAAAAAAAAAGACTAGTTGTTTACTGCAGTACAATAAAGTAAGCCTCTACAGCTCTACCTACAAATATATAATGGTCAAGATAAATACAGTAAGGAACTTTTTTTTAAAACGAATCAGGCAGGAGAGCTGCCGATTAAAAGAAGATAAGCCCAAAGTGGGCACACAGTAAGGAACTTTGAAACTCAAGCAGTGTTCTAAGAGCAGGTGACTGAGACTGAACCTTGGCGCTGTCTGTCACTCAGGTGCCAAACTTTTTTAGGTATATTGCCCACATTTTTTCTCGAAAAACGCAGGAGATCTGCGCCTCATTATATTAAGAAAAAGGAGGGTGTAAGAACCCAACAACACTTCCACCAAACACCCAACACACCAACACACACTCAACACCACGCACTCACAGCCTAACACGCCTCAGGAAAAACTGGAGGCTGACCCAAACAACACCAAACAGCCCCAGGGACTAACCACCAGGGAGGGGGGCAGACAGAAGGGATAATCCTCGAGCCCCTGCTGAGGTCCAAAGCCTACGCTCCTCTCCAGCCAAGATTAAAGCCCCAGCAACACTTGGAGCCGACCCATCGAAAACACAGTGATTACGATGATTCCAGAGAATCCAGGCTCCAAGAATGATTAGGGAATTAACACCTTGTCTCACCAGCTCAGAAGTAGCACTACTAGCTCTTTCCCACCAATCAAGAAAGGAGTTTTCCGAAGGTTGTGGGGATAAGGCATGAAGACCAAACTGTCTTAGCAAAAGGAACCAAAATTCCCTAGCAAAGATGCAGCCGACCAGGAGATGGTTGATGGTTTCATCATCTTGATCACAAAGTGGACAGCATTCCGGGCGGGGCAGCCCACGGCGTGCAAGTCGATCTGCTGTCCAGCACTTATTGTGCGCAACAAGCCAAATGAAGAACCGACATTTAGGTGGTGCCCAGGACTTCCAAATTTTCTCCCATGGAGCAAAGAGGGTCGAACCCAAGAAGAAACTCTCATATGCCGACTTGGCTGAATACTGTGTATGTTGCCCACATAGGCAGTGACTAGGCAAGCAAGGCAGTGCACGAAGAAGGCAGGCCAGATCATTGGACAATTACTGGAAGAACGAGAACTGTCGTAGGAGCAACAAAGTTCCCCATGACCTTCTGCGCCTTGCATAATGCTCAATATATTGTGCATGTGCTACATAAGGTTGGCAGAACTTCTTAGAAAACTTAGTCCAAATGGAAACTGTGCATGTGCTAGACTTAAAAGTTGCAAATGTTCAATGAAATCCTTGGACAAAATGGACAGAAATGCACCCTTTTTTGCTTTTGAAAGGCATTTTTGTCCAATCATTCAGTGGCAAATAGTTGAGATTGACATGGAACAAAAATCAATTCTCCAAACTGGAGAAATTAAAAATGTCCAGATTCATATGGAACACTTAGGGGTGTTTGGTTTGAGGAACCATCTCATTCTAGATGAGATGGTGCATCATGAGCTCATTCCTCAAATTTGGTAAAATTACTCAATTTCTCATGCTAGTACTAATTATTAGAAACAAGACATCTCTTACTGTTTCAAAGCATTAAAAAACTCATTGGAATCACATTCCTACTTTTGGAAAACCAGATGAGCAAAAGATGCGCAAATCGAAGAAAAAAAATATTTTTCTTTTCTCTTTCTAGACCTGCCGAGGGCACACAAGAAAAGGTCTTTCAACTGAATGATAGCAAACAAGTACAAATGTGTGAAAAATGAGCATTAGGAATTCTGCATAGCTAACACATTGTTATACTGTACTTCTTGTACAACTCTCGTATATATATGAAAGGCACCCTACAATAGGTGTGTGGTGTTCACCAAACCATTATCCCCGCTTGTTCTACATGGTATCACGAGTTTGGGCCTAGGTCTTCTCGCCCACAAACCAAACCCTAGAGCCCCCCCCCCATCAGGCACGTCGATCGCTACTACCTCCCCTGCAGTCGATCCTCGATCGTTGCCGCGTCCTGTTGGGCGTCGACCACTTCCTCCCTTCCGCTAACTCCCAAACATAGCCGCATCGTCCCCCCTCCTCCCACCTCCCAAACCCTAGCTGGCGGCACCAACTTCCTGCCACACTGCCGCTACCTCACCTCCCTCGCCATGTGGACGAACACCTCCACGTCCAGAGGCATGCTCGGCTCCAACACCTCGGGCTCCCTGCCGCATGACTCAGAGACGACACCACCAATCTTCTTCACCCCCTTTGTGATGATCGCCATCAAGTCCCATGGTCCAAGGACCCTTGAGTTGAAACACGCTTACTTCAACCGATGGTCTCCCTTCTTCCTCTCCTTGTGGGGCAAGTTTGGGCTTCACTGGCCCCTAGTGTTCTCAGGCCATACCCACAGGTGCACACCGTCTTTGTGTCGGCGCAAGTCTCTAATGCGTCTATGATGGCCCCTAGTGCTAAATCAAGAAGAGGGCAAGCAAAATCAAGTGACCTGGACACCATGAGGTAGGCACAGATGGAATTACAATACAACAAACCATTTTGCCATCCTAATCTCGACTCTTCTATTCCTTTCTTCACTATCCATGGGCTCTGACAGTTCATGCTATGTTTAATTGGACGCCTATGGCCTAGGCGACGCACTAGGTCTCCACCTAGCGCTTAACCATGCCTAAGCGAGCATTTAACAAAGTTCTTTTGAACACTGCATAGTGCAATGGCGAACAAGTACAAGGCCCTCATCGACAACGGCACTAGGCGCATGGTGCCTCCCCATTGCTACTGTCGTGACAGACAAGTGGAGCAGGCCAGCATCTACTACGACGAGACCTTCAGTCCAGTTGTCAAGCCGGAGGCCGTCCTCAGCATCGCCGCCTTGTGCTCCTGGCCGATTCACCAGTTGGACGTGAAGAACGCCTTTCTTCACAGACATCTAGAGGAAACCGTGTACTACCAACAACCGTCAGGCTTCGTCGACCCCGTTGCCCCTGACTATGTCGTACGGTCTGAAGCAGGCTCACCGTGCTTGCAACCAACGCTTCACCATGTAAATTTGCGCCATCGACTTCACCACTTCCAAGTTTGATGCATTCCTCTTTGTTTACGAAGACAGAAACCGTGCTACCTACCTACTGCTCTTCGTCGACGACATCATCCTTACGGCGTTATCCTCTACGCTGCTCATGCACATCACTAAGCGCCTTCACTTGGAGTTTGCCATGACGGACCTCAGGGACCTGCACCACTTCCTCGACATCTATCACGCACTCCAGTGACGCCCATTCCTGTCACACTGCCAGTACACTGTCGAGCTCCTCCAGCATGTTGGCCGACAGCGACAGCAACACCAGTGGACACCTGGGCCAAGCTGTCGATCATAGACTGAGCCCCCATCACCGATGCCTTAGAGTACTGGAGCCTTGCTAGTGTGCTCCAGTACCTCTCCCTAACACAACCGAAAGTATGCAGTTCTGCCTGTTCATGCATCTCATCCTAGCGAGCCTCATCTCACACCGATCAAGTAGATCCTCCGCTTTGTGAAGGGCTCACTCTCCACATGCCTTCACATTGGCGTCAGTCCAGCCACCTCCCTAAATGCATACTCCGACACCGGCTCATCTTCCTTGGAGACAACCTAGTGTCCTGGTCTTCCACTGCTGGAGCGCGGAGGCGGAGTATCACATTGTCGCCCACGCCATTGCAGAGTGCTGCTGGCTACGGGAATTCCTTCAAGAGCTTCACATCTCGATTCCTTCGGCGATGATTGTCTAATGTGACAACGTGAGCCCATTCTACATGGTGGTTGTTGGGGATTCAACCTCGGACAACACAGTCCCCGAATTTGACAAACAAACTTTAACCAATGTGTTGTCTTCATAGCAAATCATGTTTGTTGCACAGAAATGACTTCACGTTGTTCGAAACCTTCGGAGGTATTCGGCGAAGTCAAAAAGGGCAAAGACGAAGACATTTGGACGAAGTCCAAGGCAGAGGACCGAAGACAATGGACACACTTCGTGATGAAGCGAAGTCAGAGGCGAACAGAATGAAGCCAACACAGGTTGAGGCCGCGAAGCCTCATCTGGAAGACTCATCTCGGCGAAGCTAGATGGACAAAGTAGAAACCTTGAATAGAAAAGCACTGGTTCGAGTGTAATAGCTAATCCAGGGGCAAAAGTGCAATTGTAATAGAATAATCGAAGGTTCTCGCTCCTATAAATACCCTGACATGTACTGTACTGGACATGAAAATTTTATCCAATTGAGTTAATTCTACTCAATGATGCTTGAGCGATTGTTTCGGCCAACAGTGGTCAAACCCATTAATCACCGGCGCACCAAGCACATCTAGATCAACATCCACTTCATCCGGGAGAGGGTTGCCTTGGGCCATGTCCGTGTCCTCCATGTTCCCTCAACTGCATCAATTTGCAGACATCATGACGAAGGGCTCTATAGTCTGTGGACCCGTGATCCTACCGCTACGACTGCAGACGGGTATTAGGAATTATGTTTAGCTAACACACTGTTGTACTACCATTATTACCAATTCTTGTACAACTCTCGTATATGGCTACATATATGAAATGCCTACAATGGGTGTGTGGAGTTCCCCTTAAACCATTATGCCCACTTGTTTTTCTATGAGGTGGTGATGGATCAACTCAGTACCATTCCGTAAACCAAACAAAAAAGTAGGGAGTGAAAAGATGATGGACTACTTCATTCCTCAAACCAAACACCCTATTAGTTTGTAGAGCAATACCAAAACAGACGGAAGTTGTAGTCAGAGGTATAACCTGTAACCAAATCACGGGATGAAAGTCTGCCATGAGCGCATGAAGTTAGCACAGCCTCAAGCACAAAAGGAACAGCTTCAAGAATTTCCCACGCTGGAAGTGTTGGCCACTGGCACATATCTTCCTGTACACCTGCAGGTGAACTACTCGTACTGGAATTTTCTGTTGACTGAGGATTTACAGACAGGACACCACCTTTTGGCACTTTATTATGGCATATAATTTTCAGTATCATGTTTGCCACATGGAGCACAGCTGTCCTGCTGCAAGCACTAGAAAGTGTAGAGGCTATGCAAGCTTGATTCTGGAAGTACCATGCCCTTAGCTTTGGAAATGAGTCAATATACACTGGCTTTTGACATGGTGTATCTAATTTAAATATGCTTGATTGAGTAACATTAGATAGATTTTTCAACGAAGAATGACTATTACGTAATAACAAGAGAAAATCCAAACGGAGCTCTGACCAAAGAGAGACTCCACGCCTTGATAAAGCATTCTCAATAGGTGGTCTATGAAATTTCCAAAAGCGAAGCAGGGACAGGAAAGCACATGAGAATACTGAATACACAGAAGCCTCTTCAAATTTACAACTCCTATGATCAGATGGAGGTAAAGATCCAAAAATCTCACAGAGAGGCATTAACATAGATGCTACTTCTGGCACCTGCAAAATATCATGTCACAAGGGAGATGGTAACATAAGCCCACAACAGGTTCATACAGCACATATACCACCAAAGCATGTAAACCAATTACTACTCCGTGCAAGTAAATTTTCTTTTACAATGTAGTTGCAAGTGGTCACCAGCCCAGTGGCTTATGGTTGGCGGTTGGCCCAGGTCACGGTGCGGGCCTATAGGGTGAAGCCAGGGTTCAGGGGTTTTCTCCGTCGGTTTGACTGAGGTTCCTTCTCAAAGTAAAATCATAGGGGTGGTCTTTCCCCACTGGCCGAGCTTTTTTTAATCAATGTAACATGTGGTGCTGACATCCAACGAGCATTAAACCGCATCCAAAGAATGTACTAAAAAATTCCAGTAGGTTTGAACGGCATCATGATTGCAGCAATAACTTAAAGAGATACTATCCGCAATTCAAAACCACAAGTAAACAGAAGTCATTCACATATGAAAATATGAAAGATGCACATGGACTGACAAAGTTTTGTCAATACTTATCCATGCCTGAGAAATATGTTTAACACAAGATTAGTTCAAAAAATATTTTCATTCTGCTTCAAGGAACACATATTATTAGAGATATAAATAGATATGTATAGCCTGACTTGTATTGTACTTCATATTACTTGTACTCCAAGCCTTCTCGGCTATATATATGAAAGGCCACCCCCCCGCCCCCTTATTGGGTGTGCGGTGTATTATCTCTCTACATGGTATCATAGACCGGGCCAATTAGGGTTTCTCTCTCTTCCGCTGCCCTAGCCCTACCTCTCCCGGCGCCGCCCCCCCCACCTCGGCGCCCCCCCTGTTATGGCCACCAATGGATCCTCCTCGACCGCGACCTCCGGGATGTCTGGATCACCATCCATGCCGGCCATGACAGACGCCCCTGCTCCTGTGATCTTCTCCTACGCGACCATCAACGTGCGCCAGCACGTGCCGATCACCCTTGATCTCAAGCTGCCGAACTACACCAAGTGGTCTGCCTTCTTCACCGCTATGTGCGGCAAGTTCGGCCTACTTGGTCACATCGACGGCTCCATCCCGGCACGTCCTACTGATCGCACATGGTCACGGCCAGATGCTTGCGTCCGGAGTTGGATGTATGGCTGCATCGACGACAGCGTCCTCGACCTCGCCATGGAACCTGAGCAGACTGCCCGTGATCTCTTTGTTGCCATTACCAATCTATTTCAGGCAAACCAGGAGACACGCGCCGTCGTCCTAGGTCAAGAGTTCCACTCTATGACCCAGGGTGATTTGTCCATCGACGCCTACGCCCAGCGCATGAAGCACACGGCCGACGCTCTCCGCGACGTTGGCCACACCGTCTCTGAGCCCCAGCTGGTCCTCAACCTTCTTCGCGGCCTCAATCCGCGCTTCGCCAACACGTCGGACATCATCGCCAATGCGGCGGTTCTTCCGTCGTTCATCTCCGCCCACAACACCCTTCGGCTCAAGGAGCTCCGCCTCTCCAACGACGCCAAGGTCTCCTCCGACACCGCCCTTACTGCCGTCGCCCCGTCCACGACTTCAGCGACTACGGCCTGCACCTCCCCTTCCTGCCGCTCCTCGTCCTCCGGCACCAACCCCAACGGCGGCTATGCAGCGGCGCGTGGAGGCGGCGGCAAGCAAGGGCAAGGCAAGGGCAAGCGGCGGCTACGGTGCGCGTGGCGGCAATAACGGCGGTGGCGGCCGCCACCAAGCCAGCCCACCAGCAAGGCGTCCCGGCCTCTCCTGGCGGGCGTCCGCCCCGGCGTCCACCGACCGGTCCTTGGTCTCCGCATGAACCCGTGAGCGGTCCTTCTCCGTGGGCTCCTCAGCCGCAATGGCGTCCTCCAATGGCACCTCTGTCGCAGGCCCACACGTCCTTCGCACCGCCTTCTACGTCCGGTGGCTGGGATCAGGGCGCTCTCATTGCCTCCCTCAACCAGATGGCATCTGCGAGGGCGCCACACTGGTTCTCGACACACAGAGCTACATCTCATATGTCCCCCACGACGGTATACTTCTTTCTCATCTACCTCATTTGCCGTCCTTCATCACAATGGGCAATGGGTCCCCATTCCAATTTCTAGTCGTGGCACTTCCATTCTTCCTATAGTGATCATATATTTTTCAACTCAATAATGTTCTTGTCGCTCCACATCTTGTTCGAAATTTGTTGTCTGTTTCGCCGCTTTACTCATGACAATAATCGCTCCATTGAGTTTGATGTTTTTGGCTTCTCTCATTAAGGATCTGCAGACCAAGACCGAGATTCTCGCGTTAACAAAGGTGTCGGGAGCTCTACACCCTTCCACATTCCAGTCAACCTGCTGCAGCCTGTCATGTCGCCGCCATCTCCTCCTCATTGTGGCATTCACGTCTTGGTCATCCAGCACCTGCAGCCATAGCTACACTTAATAAACTTTCAGCTATCTCTTGTAATAATGCAGCCCGTGGTATTTGTCACACCTGTCAACTTGGCAAACACACACGGCTGCCCTTTACTAGTTCATCGTCTCGCTGCTCAGCACCTTTTCAACTTGTTCATTGTGATGTCTGGACGTCTCCAGTTCTTAGCGTGTCTGGATTTAAATATTATCTTATGCTTGTTGATGATTATAGTCATTATTGCTGGGCGTTTCCTCTTCGGCATAAATTAGAGGTTCATGCACATATTGTCGATTTTACTAATTATGCTTACACCCAATTCAGCCTGCCTGTCCAGTGTTTTCAGGCGGATAACGGCACTGAGTTCATCAACAATGCCACATCTACCTTCCTTGCTAGCCGCGGCATTCTTCTTCGCACTTCTTGCCCTTACACGTCTGCTCAAAATGGGAAAGCTAAACGGATATTGCGCACGCTAAACAATATCGTTCGCACCCTCTTGATTCATGCCTTCAGCTTACTGGGCCGAAGCCTTAGCCACCGCCGTTCTTCTACTCAATCGTCGCCCGTCTTCATCCATCAATAATACTATTCCCTATCACCTCCTTTATCACAAGATGCCTGACTACTCCTTGCTTCGAGTCTTTGGTTGCTTATGCTACCCAAATCTTAGTGCCACGACACCTCATAAATTGGCTCCTCGCTCATCAGCTTGCGTCTTCATCGGGTATCCCTCTTCACAAAAGGGTTATCGTTGTCTCGATCTCTCCACTCGCAAAGTCATCGTCTCCCGTCACGTGATTTTTGATGAGACTCACTTTCCGTTTGCGGTTGCCAAACCACCTACGGAGTCGCTTGATTTTTTATTACAGGATCGTCTTCCTGCACCTGTGCCAGCTCCTCCTGCTGGCGTTCCGGGCCGGCTCTCTACTCGGCCGACCTTCGACGACGACAACACCACACACTTCGGACCGGCCCGCCATCCTCCTCGCACGGTCCGTCCCTTCAGGTATCACTGCTTCTACACCGCGCAGCCTGGCGCGTCCTCTGTTGTTGACATTCGCTCGCTGCTTGCTCGGGAGCAAAGACGTCTGCCGCCTCTGCTGCATCACGTCCGCCGGTGTTTTTCCAAAGATACCGGCGGCGTCCTCGCTCATCATCATCATGCCCCGAGCACAGTCACGTCACGCCTCCACCGGCGCCTCGGCCACTCACGCCCCAGCCGTCCTGCTGCTCCATTGCGCCCGTGTGACACGGCAGAATGATCGAATGCTCCCGCCTCGCGCCGAACGCTTCGACTTACTCCGCCACGCGCATGCCTCACCGCTTCACGCGCCAATTATCGCAGCACCCTTGCTGATCCAAATTGGCGGGCTGCAATGGTGGATTTAATACAAGGCACTTGTTGACAATGGCACTTGGCGACTTGTACCACGGCCTCCTCGTGCCAACATTGTCTCCGGCAAGTGGATCTTCAAGCATAAGTATCACTCTGATGGCTCTCTTGCTCGTCACAAAGCTCGGTGGGTTGTTCGAGGATTTTCTCAGCAGTATGGCATCGACTACGAAGAGACTTTCAGTCCAATTGTTAAGCCAGCAACGATTCGGGTTGTTCTCAGCATTGCTGTGTCTCGTGCCTGGCCAATTCATCAGTTGGATGTCAAGAACGCCTTTCTTCATGGTCATCTGAATGAGATTGTTTACTGCCAGCAGCCACCTGGATTCGTCGACCCGGCTGCACCTGACCATGTCTACTTGTTACAGAAGTCTTTGTATGGGCTCAAGCAGGCACCCCGGGCATGGCACCAGTGATTCGCTACCTTCATTCAGACCTTGGGCTTCGTCGCTTCAGTGTCAGATACTTCTCTTTTTGTGTTCAAGGAGGGCACCAGTGTTGCTTACCTGTTGCTTTACATCGACGACATTGTCCTCACAGCATCCTCGCCTGCTCTTCTTTGACATATTACTGAGCGCCTTAACTCAGAGTTCGCCATGACTGATCTCCGGGACCTTCATCACTTCCTCGGGATTTCTGTCACTCGTTCTGCTGACGGCCTTTTCCTGTCACAGCGGCAGTATGCAGTTGATCTTCTCCAGCGGGCTGGTATGATTGAGTGTCACTCTATAGCCACCCCAGTCGATGCACGCGCCAAACTGTCAGCCACTGATGGCTCACCAGTTGGATCCAACACAATACCGGAGTCTCTTTATGCATTCTCCGCGTGAACTTCATCTGGCGCTGCTCAAGCGGATTTTGCGATACGTCAAGGGTACACTGTCTACAGGTCTTCACCTCGGTACCGGGTCTCTTGACACTCTCACAGCATACAAGGATGTTGATTGGGCTGGCTGTCCGGATTCTCGGCGGTCTACGTCTGGATACTGTGTCTTTCTTGGTGACAATCTGGTGTCTTGGTCCTCCAAACGGCAGACTACGCTTTCGCTCCAACATGCGAAGTCGATACCGTCTTTCGCCCATGCCGTTGCTTGAGACTTGTTGGCTTCGCCGGCCACTTCTTGAGCTTTCACACTCCTCTTACTTGGCGACAATTGTATCTTCAGGACAATGTCGGTCACATCTACATGACGGGTAATCCTGTTCATCATCGCCGCACGAAGCATATAGAGATTGACATTCATTTTGTTTGCGACAAGGTTGCTCTAGGATAGGTTCGAGTCCTCCATGTCCCTTCATCCCACCAGTTCGCGGACATTATGACCAAAGGCTTGCCTGTACAGTTGTTTACTGATTTTAGGTCTAGTCTTTGCGTCCGAGATCCTCCCGCTGCGACTGCGGGCGGGTATTAGAAATATAAATAGATATGTATAGCCTGACTTGTATTGTACTTCATATTACTTGTACTCCAAGCCTTCTCGGCTATATATATGAAAGGCCACCCCCCTTATTGGGTGTGCGGTGTATTATCTCTCTACACATATAATTCTAGGTTATTCTTGATTTCATCTCAAACTTCATCAGAACCCCATGTTATCCATGACTAAGTCAAAACGAATAGAGCTGAACTATTAAGCTGGCGATGTTTCTTACCAGGCCATACATTGAAAGAATATGAACAGTGTCAATAGAAGAAATTCCTGATACAAGAGCGTGTAGCATAGGCATGTCCTGTACATATCGCCCTTCTGGTCCAGAATCCAGAGGGAGGAATGTCGATAACAACTTAAGCACCATTTGAACAACATGTTCCTAAGCAGAAAAACAAATTGCACGCAAACATGTTACATTCTTCTGTAGAACATTACTACAATATGGTTCTTTTAAATTGAATAATACCTGAATGTTCCAACCACGAAGCAGTGATGCTCCACACAAAATCTTCGAAGCTGCCAACTTTTCCTCCGGTGACCCACTTACTGCAAAAGAGTACAATTTCTCCAACTCTGCTACACTAAGAAAACAAAATAGGAATGAGATCATGAATCAAGCTAGTCAACAGACATAAAACCAAAAAAGCTCTAAAATTAGTATATTCCTATGATTTATCACCTCGAAGCAGGTGTGACCATAAGGGCGTCCTTAAGTTCTATAAGTGGAGACCCTTCTACTAAAGATGGCCATGGAGACTCCTGAACTGGAGAGGATTCTTTAAGTGGAATCACGTAGCCAGGCCAGAAATAAGCAGATGTATCAATTAAGTTCCTTGTGATGCAGGCTTCCACGATAAGATGTAGCATATTTCCAACTACAATTTTGAAGCGTAACTATGATTTAGATAATTCATAATTGCGAAAAGAACAAGATAACCAAAGGATACTAAATGTTAAAAATATCTCAGTTCATAGGTAACCTGCTTTAATAGAGGGACTGTCTTTGAAAGAACTGTACATGTTCTCACTCCCATTTTTCAGGTTAGAGAGAACAACTGCTGCTTTTCTAGCTGCACTATTTGCCAAATGTACAGCTGCTGGAGGTGGTGAAAGAAGACCAAAAAATTGCCTCAGAATCTGAAGTGAAGACACTAATTGTCCTCTTATAACAGAGGTTGTTTCCCCTTCCAGATTGCCCACCTCTTCCTTCACAATAGTTGCAATGGACAAGGGGATAATAGCCAACAACATGCACAACCGTGAATCAAGACGAGGAAATGGTCCTTCTGAAGCATCTGGGCCCTATTAAGCACATTTTTTAGCAAGGAGTAAATATCAATGTATGTGTTTGGAGCATATGCCAAATGACAACATAAGTAAATATTTTTTTCTTTTTTATTATTCTTTATTTAAAAATAATACATATAGACTGTGGTTGAAGTCATCTCACTCGCTGTACTAGCCGCAAAGCCGAAATCCATAAAGCTTGAAAGGTCTCTTGCCAGGTTGCCCGATTCAACACTTGAAGTGTTTTGGATAGTTCTGTCAGCCAATGGTCTCATGTTAGAAAATGTTTTAAAGCTATGGGAAAGGCAAGAATTAACAGCTTTATGCATTTATGCACCTGTCAGATATTCAACTGATGATATAGCATGAAGATGTCTCCCATCCATTGTGTTCTCCATAAACATGTCAAAAGGAATCCAACAAGATCCCTTTCCAGCTCCGAATATACTGTAAACAGCTGAACTGCAAGGCTGTATGCTAACAGGAACTCCCAGAAGCCTTTTCCTGTCTAATTGGTAGTCCGTGCTTATGACATTCTGTATATTCATAATCAAGCTATCTAGCAGATTGTACGGAGACAATGTGTTCTTCTTTTTAAGAGCACCAATAAGATGAAGTTTCCGAAGTAGACAATTGAAATTTTCAGGTCTATCCTACCACATCCAAAAAGGAATGGAAGTATTATCAGTTTAACATACACAATACACTAGAACATTTGGACAGTGATTGAGTGGTCTGGAGAGGGGATCACAATCCAAAAGCTTTCTAGCGATTATTTGTTACGCTTGCTCAATGTCAACAAATATACCTGTACCAAAGTTCTCCCAAACTATGCATGCATACTCACATTCTAAAATGAAATCATAAGCTTGAAGTTTAGAATCACAACAAAGCCATAAGTTTTATGAAGTTTCGTATCTGGGAAAGAGCCAAACATGACACGACAAGCTAGAAGTTGACTCATTTGAAAGTGCCTAAGATGATGTGTGGCTTCAACCAACTTCCCATATGTTCTCCCTAGTAAAATTAGTACGGTCAAAGTTCTTCTCTTCTTTTATTGGTCAAAATAGTGCTCTCAATCCCACCCATGCTAACATGTCACATTTAGGACAAAACGCAGATAGCAGCCGGCACTATTGCACATACCGCCAAAAACTCAAAGGTAGTACTATTACCATCTGATAACATGATAATATATCAATTTCATTTTCATCCCCAACCCCAAGCTTGTCAAGTGAAAAATGTTTCTAAAAACAAGCAAACTTTACCGATTTGGATGAAACCTAGTTTTTCAGGGAGTACGTAGCTGAGGATCTACAAACTTGTAATGATCAAGATTTGCATGGCAGAAAAGAGTAAAGTTACAAAGATAACACAGCATACGTGTTACGATTGACAAGCCGCAGAAAGACTTGGACAATTTTGTTTGCAGTGACCTTCCCAACAACTTCAATAGACATAAGTATATTCTTTCTTCTTAGATGTTCACGGTGCTCATCTCCCCTGTCAAGTGATCTCCCCTTGCCATTAAAATTCATATCATTTCTGTTGCCATGTTCATTAGCGGAGGTGATGGGCAATCCACAATCATCTAAGATGCAATCAATCAGCATGTTGACAAGACTCAACACAAACAAAATAACAGTATGTCCAAAATCCAAATGTTGAAAACCAAATCTATGTGAAAGCTGCATAGCACTGTCAATAGATTTGGCTAACCTGCATAGTAAATGCAAATATAAAGTTAGCACATTTGAGAGGATTATATGTTGGTATCAGAAAATTTGTTCACCAAATAAAATATTTCAGAACATCTTCTATTCCCTACAATAGTTCTGCTGCTAGATCAGGACTTGACTGATCACATGCTAATCAGCCCAGGCAACCGATAGGCTCACCTACATAAAGTCGGTCCTTGCTTCTATCCCAGTTTACTATATGTCCACTGTTCTTTTCTCCAAGACCTTTGTGGAAAAAATCAATGCCATCATTAGAAGGTTTTGGTGGGCGGGTGTTCAGGACGACAATCCTACCTCTCCTATTGCTTTTCGCTCTTGGGACATTATCTGCCAGCCCAAGGAAAATGGGGGGTTGGGGATCAGGGATCTGCATACTGTCAATAGAAGCCTCCTCACCCATGCTGTTTATAACATTGCTAATAACAAAAACCCTTTTCTCTCTTCTGTACTTAAGGCTAAATACTATCACAACGGTTCTTTTTGGACAGCTAATGCCAGTGGACCTAGGTCTATTTTTTGGTCCTCTATTTTACAGGTAAAAAAGGAACTCTGCACCAGCGCTGTCTACCAGATTCATGCAGGTAACACTTCCATCTGGTCAGCACCGTGGTGTCCTATATGGAACTCCATACATGACCACCTTCTCCTACCTGTCACTACAACACCCTTGCCAGCTACGGTTTCTGACCTCTGGATTAATAATACTCGCTCCTGGAACATGGAGCTTATCTCCAACACTTTCGATAACCAGGCTGTCCAAGTCATCACTGGTGTCCAACCTGTTCCTAGTGATCAGCAAGACATCCTAAGATGGACGCCTTCTAAGAATGGAATCTGCACCACTAAAAATGTTTACAGGCACCTATCTTCCCAGCTCTTAGTCCAGCTCCCACAGCAAGGCTCCAGAAGCATCCATCCCCAAGCTAATCAAATTTTGCAGAGAGCTTGGAAAAGTAAGGATTTATCCCCTGTCATCAAGACCTTCACCTGGAGACTTATAAGAAGAGCCCTCGCCACTGCCGATCGGGCAGCAAGGTATGCCACTCACATTGACAAACATTGTGCCTCCTGTGGCGCAGTGGAAGATGACGCTCATCTCTTCTTCCGCTGCAATCTCCCTCGTGCAGTTTGGTTTTCTGCTAATCCTTCTCTCAGAACTGACAGTCTTCCACAAGAACATGATGGAGTGCAATTAACTCTCCAAGCTTTTATTAACAATTCAACATCTGACTTTTTGTTTCATAAGAGCCTAATTACTATGTGGCATCTATGGAAGGCGAGAAATGATAATCGCTTCCAACGAAAGACCTGGACTCCTTGGCAGGTTCATCACGCAGTTGCTGCGCACATCACCACCCAACACCAAGTACAGATTGCAGGAACAGACATTGCAGGCGCCCAAACTCCAAGCCTGGCGGACAGGCAACCGCACATACCAGCAGCTGGCCCTGTCCAGAATCAACAGCCTAGTCACAACAACTACCTAGTGCAACATATGCCTACTCCTATTGAGGGAGCTGCTACAGCCATCGATGGGGACCCCAACTCCATGGTGTCTTCACCGCATCAGGGATGCCGATCAGCTACAACTCAAACTGGACCATCAGGTATGAATAGCTTATTGACAGGGATTCAACCACAAACGACGAACAGATACACCGTCCATACACCAGCACTACTCCAGGGCATCAGATGCTTTGCTTGATGCATCCACGCCTCCTGATCAACCATCAGCGATGCCAAGAGACGCTGGCATCGGAATTTTTATTGTTAACACACAGGTACAACCCACACCATCTACATCAAGGCGAGAATGACAGGATCCAGCTCGGTGATCATGGCAGAAGCTGCGGCGCTGGCCTTGGCCGCGGCCGTCACTGAAGGCATGAACCTGAACAATATCAACTTCTTATCAGACTGTGAACAACTAGTTCACTTCCTTAATGCCGCAGATCAGACTAATCCACCAGACTGGAGAATTAAATACTTCACACAGCTATTCTCCAATCACTCAAGTTGCAGGCAGTCAAGGATCTTCAAGATTTCCAGGACCCTCAACACTACAGCGGATGCATTAGCTAGGCGGGCACTTTCAGACTCAGAATCTCAGCATTTTGAGTCTTCCTGTTCCTACGCCCATGTAAACCAATGCTCATTACTGCAGGCTTTGCAATCTGTAAGCCAGAACTCTGTAAGGTTACTTTCAGCAAGATGCTGTTGAAATAAAATTGTTTGTTGTCAAAAAAAAAGTACATTGCAGACGAATATAACAATCAGTAAAAAATAAAGCCATTCTAAAGTTAATGCTAAAATATTGGAAAATATTTTCTCAAAAACCTGATAGAGATTAGCTGGATAAAGGCCTGAAAAGCTTCAATTGCACACATTTGAGCATGACTTTTATGGAAAGCTTACAGGTGCTATGTGGCGAATCCACCTAAGTTGGAAGAACCTACAGTCTAAAGCATATTTACCAAATATTAACTAGGAGTAGCTCACAATATTGAGGGGCAGCATACATTGACGTGAAAAAGAATATTGTGCACTTGACAAATAGGCGCCTCAGTGGTATGTGGCATTTCAAACCCTTGGTGTTTGCACACATTTCAATCAGACACTTTGACCATGTTGGTACACATAGGAATAGTTTGCAGTTTCCTGACAAACTGTGCTGTGCTATGATATGCACTTATGCAATAAGGTTTTTGGCTATGAATCAAATAGAAAATATGATTTTAACAAATAACTAAGAGTAAATTTTGCATGCCTACAGGTGATTGACCACAGTATCAGAACTTTAAAGATCGGAAGTCCATTATCAGAAAGCTGCAGATTGATGAACAATTTATAGTTGAAGATAGTTAGGTCAATTAAACTGTAGGTTTTAAATATTTACTCAGTAGCTTATATACCCAAAAAGTAGGGGGGAGTGCTTTTGAAAAGCCACCGCAATGTGAAAGGAGCTTAATGACACTTGTGAAGCCTTTGAACCACAGGACAAGGTTCTTTTTCTAGAACACGACTTCACGACAGCACAAGGTTAGAAATGGTGCACCTTTTCCTTTGAAGACCAAGACCAAGACCAAGAATTTTGCAATCGTTTTCATCCTACCTAGTTTCCACCTCCAGATACATCTAACGGAATTACGGAAATGACCAGGCAACCCCCTAGCAGCCGGGTCAAGCTGGGCCCACGTACCCGCAAAGCATCAGCAAATACAGCACAGATTTAAACCGGGATATCCAACAAGCAAGTTGCCAATTCTGACGTGTGCAAGTTGTATCGTGAATACAGAGTACACCAAACCAAAAATCAAGGATGCAAGTGTAAACATAGTACTGGAGTAAGGTCCTTACATATCCTTCTCCATGCGCTCCGGGTAAACAGGGGCCACCGCGTACCGGCCTAGAAGCTCGAGGTAGAGCCTGTACGCCTCCGGCTGCTCCCGCCGGTTCGGCACCACCCTGCATAGCAATAGTAATACAGTATTATACAAACCAGCACACAACAACCGGCAACTTAGCATCTGAAAGCGAACTAGGGCCGAAACCCAATTGATAAAAGGAGACGACGCGGGAAGGTCGAATCGCTCAAGCACCTCGGGGTAAGGAGGGCGAGGGTGTGGTGAGGGTCCACCAGGCGGGACAACATGGCCTGATCCAGCAGCTTCCACATGGCGGGTGTGTTGTGCGCGAAGCACAGGTTCGTCACCAGCGCCTGGGAGAGCGCGAGGCCGCCCGGAGCGGACGCGGGGGCCTCGCGGATGCAGCGCGCGGCCTCGGCGGCCTGGAGAAGCGGCGGGTCCCCGCGCTCTGCGGAGGCCTTCACCGCCGCCATCACCCGCCGCTCCAGCTCCAGCTCCGTGACGGCGGCAGCCATCGGCCCGCCTGGTTTTGGGGAGCTCTGCTCTGGTGTGCTGATTGCGCGGGGGATTTGGGTTGGCGATGGGAGGAGGAGAGGCTGCTGCTGGTCGACGACTGTATTTAAACCCCAAAAATTAGAACGGGATAGCGAAAAGCTTTGACCAACAAAGCGGTCAAAGTCAATCCCGATGAAAATCATATTTTCTTTCGGAATTAAATGATATTTCTACAACTTTCTATATTAATCATATCAAATCATATTTTTCTAAGATATGATTTTTCTAAGATATATTAATTATATCAAATCATATTTTTTTCGAAATTAAATGAAAATAATTTTTATATAAAAATTATAGATCTCGACGAGATCTACAACTTTCTAATTTTGAGTTTTTTCATTTGAAGTCGTTAAGATGCTAAAAAAAATTAATGACATATTTAGACTTAATGGTATTTTCGAATTTTCACACATGCAGTTTGATGGCGTTAGAGTCCAAACTGACGGCAGTGGCATGGAGGGCACAAAAAAAGTTGAAACAGTGGAACCGAAGATCGCTGAACTTTTCCAGAGACATATATGACATTACGATCTTTCTTAATGACACACAGAGAATTCTCCCCTTTTATTTCTCCTGCCTTCTCTCTTCCACGTGAGCAAAATGATGGCCATAGCTATAAGCTAGCAAAAGTGGCATCTTGGGGACACCCTTATGCTCACACCGCTCGCCTACACTCAGCCTGTTCGGTTGGCTGGTTCGTTTTGTTGTTGGTTCGTGAAGAAGTACTGTTGACTGGTTTGTGTGAAAGAAAAATATTTTTCCAACTAGAAATTTACTATCGTTTACGACGAGAAAGCCAAACAAAACGAATGCTCCCCCAACACATGTGGTCCCTCGCTACTACAGCCTTCTCTGTGCACATGAGCAACAAACAACGCAGCTACGAAGTCCGTCCAAGGCCACCGGCATCGTAGGTCACTATCCCGGGGATATGCGTGCGCCCTTAGGCGGTTGGGCCTACCGCCACGGCCATAGTCATCCTGTGTGATTTTTTTTTATTTTTAACCTTTTTTTTAACTATTTCTAAATTTGACATTGTTTATTTTTTTTCAAATCTAACATTTTTGTCGTGCCTAATGCCATGGCGCGCGAAACCATACTGCCGCGGCAAGACCACCACCGTGGCAGCAACCAGGCCCGCTGACCGCTGACGTGGCTGAAGCTGGCATTAGACGTGGCTACTGAAACAGTTAGATTTGAAAAAAAAACAGTTAAACAGTGGCATTAGGCGTGGCTACTAAAATAGTTTAAAAAAGGATTAAAATAAAAAAAAATCTCTTGTGCCAACTGCGGAGTGCCCGCGCCCAGTTGTGTAGAGGAGAAAGAAGGATCCTGATCCTATACAGAGAGTAAGTGTGGACAGGATAAGCTAAGCTAGGTGTTATGTTTGAACTTTGAACGTACTTATGTCATTTGTTCCTCAAAATTTTCTGGAGATCTAAATGCTATCCAAAGATTTCATGTAATTTATAGAGAAATAGTAGACACTGTCGATCCCATTTTGATGTCTTAGCCGGCCTCTACTGTGTGATATCAGAACTATCAGTTTTCAAATAGCCATTCGGGTTTTACACTTGCTATTTAATTCCACAAGAAAAGATATTGACATAAACAGTAATATTAAACGGGTTTGACCAAACACATCGAGCATATCATATCCTTACATCAATTTGTTGTCCATTTGCCTTTCTCATCAACAATCTCCACCACAAAAGATAATGGAACGGAGCATTATTAGCTATATATGATTGTTTACTGTAGCGAGATTAGACAATATTGTCCAGGGTAGTAATTTTTTCCTTTTCCTCTAGGAAAATAAAGTTGATTTATTATGTGACCAGCAGTTTAACAACAGTCCCGGACAACAGAACATATAACGTTTCACATCTCAATTTTATCTTCCAAAATCTAAACCTTGCATGAATACATAGCAGTTAGCAATATATGGTCCATGTTACTCTTCATAAATAAACTATTTAAATCATTTTATATGCAGTATTTAAGTATTAAAGTTAGGTTGTTAACCATATAAGATTTAAAAGTTGAAAGAACTCTTATAAAAAGAATAGGATCCTATCTAAGAGTTACTCAACTTTTTACAACAAGTATCTGCCCATAATTTGTGAGTTTACCGAAAAGCCACTAGGCGTTATTGTTCAATATTTTTTAATAAGGTATATAAGAAGGCATTGTTCAGTATATTAAGGTATAAGAATTTTCATGAGATTGCAGCAACTTCACAATTTCCAATCGACCACAGAATTATTGTACATACTATGGTCCCAAATAAACATCAGCACCCCAAATATCCATTGGCAAAAAAAGAAATCCATTATCCATGGCGTGGTGCATCCAACATGTCTTTCTAGTTCGGATCGGAGCTTCAACTGCACAGTCCTGACAATAGTTATCAGAGACAGCTAGCCTTCCTGAAGCAACAGCATTGGTATTTTGTTCACTTCTTTCTTGACAATGGTACATTCAGATTCATATGCAATTGCAAGTTACAGCAGCAACAGAAAGTTCAGCACATCAAGGCATTTGAAATGGATAAAGGTTGCCATTGTTCTACTTCTAACCATGTTTGGTTTGAATTCAAGAAAAAAAACAGAAAAAAGATAGACCACATGAAGTTGAATAGATGCTCTGCTTATATTGCAATCCTAAAAGCACCACAAACTGTATAGAAGTTAAAAAATCCAACTAAGGCACAGCGTGATTTAAACCCAGGATCTCGCGAAGAAAAGAACGAAACATTGTTGCAAGAGCAAGACTATCAGTTGATTGCCAGTGTTACCAAAACAAACCAGCACCCAATTTAATCAAACTCAACTTCATGAATCGTCCAAGGGGTCACCGAATAAAAACCAATGTAAATGGAAAATACATTGTTTATTACAGTCCTAAAATACCACTCACCCTCCAAGCGCATCTTTATGCTCCCTCAATTATTGCACGTTTTGGGCACAAGACCTCCAGGTATGGCGTTCCTTCGGCATCGGTGACAACAAAAACTCAGTTATGAGTCTTAGAAGCTTTTGGCTGCCGCAATAACGCCCTCCACAGTGATGCCATACTCCTTGTAGATCTTTCCAGCAGGAGCACTTGCGCCGAATTTGTCGATGCCAATGGCCTTGCCCTGGGCTCCAACATACTTCTGCCATCCGAGAGTAGAACCAGCCTCAATGCTGATTCTTGAAGTAACAGCCTCAGGGAGAACACTCTCCTTGTATTCATCTGACTGCTCCTCAAAAAGTTCCCAGGAAACAAATGACACAACACGGACAGTCTTCCCCTCCTTCCTCAACTCATCAGCAGCCTTGGCAGCAATCTCAAGTTCAGAGCCGGTACTCAACACGATGAGATCAGGCTTGTTGCCAGTTGAATTGTCAGAGATGGTATATCCACCCTTCTCAACACCCTCAATTGAGGTGCCAGGCAGATGAGGAAGCTTTTGCCTTGAGAGAGCAAGAATAGATGGCCTCTTCCTGTTGAGAACTGCAACTTTGTATGCTCCAGCAGTCTCATTGCCATCAGCCGGGCGAAGCATCAGTATGTTCGGCATTGCGCGGAAACTCACCAAGTGCTCAATGGGCTGATGGGTTGGGCCATCCTCTCCGAGACCAATAGAGTCATGGGTCATAACATAGATAACTCCAGCTTCAGACAAAGCTGAGATTCTCATAGCACCTCTCATGTAATCAGTGAAGACAAAGAAAGTAGCACAGTATGGAACAAACCCTGGGCTGTGCAGAGCAATGCCATTAGCAATGGCGCCCATTCCGTGCTCTCTGACTCCAAAGCGGACATTGCGCTCCTCAGGCGTATCCTTCTGGAAGTCACCAAACATCTTAAGCAGGGTCATGTTGGAGGACGCAAGATCAGCACTACCTCCAATAAGACCAGGCACAACATTAGCAAGTGCGTTCAAGCACTGCTGGGAGAGGTTCCTGGTGGCATCCGCTTGGCTCTCTGGAGTGTATTTCTAGGGTGGAGAAATAAGAATCAACCATTAGAGTATAATCCTCCACACATCACATCAGCTGTAGTATTGTGTGTAGGTATGTATTCTTACCGGAAGAGCATCAGCCCAGCCAGTGGGAAACTCCCCTGTGATGAGACTTTTCAAAGTTGCTGCATCCTCTGCATACTTCTTCTCGTACTCTGCAAATTTGGCATTCCAATCAGCCTCAAGTGCAGCACCTTGTGGCATGTGGCGGCTCCAGTGGTTGCAATGATACATTCAAAGAAATTGTATTTGTGCTATGCATTTCACCATCTCATTTGGATACCTAGATTATCAGAGCAAACAACAAGACCTACCTCTTGACATCCTCTGGTACAAAGAATGGCTCATAGGGCCATCCAAGGTTCTGCCTGGTTGCTTCGACCTCTTTGGCACCCAATGCACTTCCATGCACACTGTATGAGTTGGCCTTGTTGGGTGATCCAAAACCGATTGTGGTTGTCACCTAAAAAGGATACAAATTAGACCAATATTATAAAATCTACAGCAAGCGAACTGAGCGATAGCTCAGTTGGTGGTCTCCAGGTGGTGGGAAGCCCCAAGTCGGGAGTTCAACTCCGCATGTTGTAAAAAAAAATCCCCTCGCTTGTCCTATGCCAAAGCACAGGTCTAACGCCCAGCCGAGTCTCACGTGGGCAACAGTGCCGCTGTATGGGTGGGACAGGGGTTCGGGGATTTTCTCGATCTGACGTGAGAAGGTCATCATCTATCTTAAGCAGAATACCCGGGGGCCGTCTACCCCCTGCGGATCGAGTTTTTTAAAAAAAAATACAAACAAAACATAAAAGATTGCAAATACCAAAGAAACAAACCTTGATTAAGGTGGGCTTGTCGGTAACCGCCTTTGCTTCCTTAATAGCTGCACGGATGTCATCATAGCCAGTGTTCCCACTCTTAACCCAGATTGTGTGCCACCCAAGAGCCTCAAAGCGGGTGCTCACGTCCTCTGTGAATGCAATCTCTGTATCTCCATCAATGGAAATGTGGTTGTCATCGTAGAAAGCAATGAGCTTGCCAAGACCCCAGTGCCCAGCCAAGGAACAAGCTTCATTAGCAACACCCTCCATTTGGCAACCATCTCCCAAAATAACGTACCTGTACAAAATTCATGAAACATCTTACCAACAGCCTGTTCGCTGGTCACCACACAAACTAAAAGCAAAACATGGCACGTTCACATAGAATTATTACGTGTAGTGGTCGACAATCTCATTGTCAGGCTTGTTGAAGCGGGCAGCCAGGTGCTTCTCAGCAAGTGCCAACCCAACGGCATTGGCGACACCCTGACCAAGAGGTCCTGCAGAAGAACCATATCGAAACCGAAACTTTCAGTTTTACAGTACAGCAGGGAAACTTTACTAGTGTCAGCTCTATAGAGAAGAAAACAGACCAGTGGTAACTTCAACTCCTGGAGTCTCAAAGTTCTCAGGGTGGCCCGGTGTTCTGCTTCCCCATTGCCTGAACTGCTTCAAGTCCTCCTCCTGCAGCAGCAGCATACCAGCCGTTCAAAAGAAATTCAATCGCACAAGAGGTGATGTAAATGATCCATATGAAACAGCAAGCAGTTCAACTAAGGTGAATCACACTAAAGTTCTGCTCAACTGAACATGAGTGCTGAGGGGTCCACGGTGTAACGTCTGGGTTTCCAACTAATCTTCGAAACTCAAATTTTCACTTAGCTTATTAGATAGATTTTTGACAACTGGATAAAAGCAGCCAAGCAGGCACAGCCCTTTCTAGTGGAAAGGAAAACGAAGCCGACACCAAAAGTAGCAGCCAAGATCCTTCCAACCTTCCACTATTTTACCAAACAAACAAGACCCAAACTTTACACACGAAATTACCAGCTCCCGAGTTCGCCGCTCCAACTTTCCACACGCAGGACACAGATGCAAAACACTGAAAAGGGAGCGAGCAGTGAACCAGCTGCTTACCTTGACGCTGTCGTACCCGGCTAAGTGGAGCAGGGCGTACTGGAGCATGCACCCGTGGCCGGCAGAGAGGACGAAGCGGTCGCGGTTGAACCAGTAGGGGTTCTTGGGGTTGTAGCGCATGACCTCGTCGTAGAGGACGTGACCCACGGGCGCGCAGCCCATGGGGAGCCCCGGGTGCCCGGAGTTGGCCTTCTCGACGGCGTCGATGGCCAGGAACCGGATCGTGTTGACCGACTTCTCCAGCAGCTCGCCCGTGGCGGCCTTGTTCCCCTCGAGCGTCTCGGCGGCGGCGGCGCGCACGACGCGCTGGCGGCGGGAGACGGACGCGGACGACGGCGGGCGGCGGCGGGCCGGGAGCGGGGAGCGCAGGCCGCGGCCGGCCACCGAGATGAGACGGCGGAAGCCGAGGCGCTCGGCCGGGGCCGACGCTCCGGCGCCGGGCGCGGGGCCGGCGCGCGCGGATATGGTGGCGTGCGCGGCCATGGTATGATGGGCGTGTGCGTGCGTCTGAAGGCGGAGATGGCGAGGCTGCAGTTGTGGGCGATGAGGGGAGGGGCTATGTATGGACTCCAGCTCGGGTGCGTTTTGGCGGACTCGTTGGCAACAGCAGCTACGGGCCTACGGCGTTCCACGGCGGAGCTCCCCGCGGCGCGGACCATGGCTGCTCTCTCCATTTGTGTCTTCTCTTCTTCTGCACCTAAAAAATATCTCTGCACCTAAAAAATATCCAGGGTAAGAAGGATACTTTTCTCAGCATGAGATCGATGCTTTTCTCGGATGTACTATGCACGATGGCACTTCTGGTGTATGTCCGTATGTGGTATGAGAAATCAATCCAAAGACCATCTGTGCGAACAAAAAAGAGCATCTTGACTTCTTGAACTGAATGTATGAAGTTGAAGTATTTGCAAAGTACCTTTTTAAACATATCCAAAGTAATTTCGCATAAGGGTACGATGTAGTATTATTTCGCGAGATTTTTTATGCTTATAAAAGATCTATCGTTAAAGATGTTTTTAGACTGACGCTTTTCTTAAGCTACCAGTACAAATAATTTAAAATTGGGATTTGCTAACCTGAATTTTATAGGCGACGGTTATTGCATATATTTTATAAAAAATTACAGTTATGTAGATAAAATCTGCAACGTTAGACAAAATCACATGACAAAATCTGATATGTATTGGCACAAAGACAATTTAACAATTTACAATTATTTCTATAGTCAGATAAGGACAAAAAATTTGATATGTTATAGAGACAAATCACAAATCACAAATCACAAAAAATAACAATTTACTTACACTAATTGTTAGTACAAAAGTGTTGCATGAAATCATCTTAGAATTCAACCACCTAAAATATAGGAGAAGTGTTCAAAATTATTTTTTAATGACTTTACAATATTACTAAAGTTCATGAATACCATCGGCCTCTAGTTCCCACTAACGGGCAACCAAATATCGACAAATTGCATTGCACTAGTCTGAATATATGCCAATGCAAACATCCAAATAGGCCATATATCTATAAAAAAAATGCTAAAAAGGAACTCCATGTTCGTCGAGAGGGCAAGAAAATATGAGATTAATCAGAAAGAAAAGAATATGCCCAATTAGATTTTATAATTTTGTAACTATGTAGAGCAAATGAAAGAGTACATATGAATTATGATTGACAATTAGCTAAATTTGGTCCACATATTCTCCCTCCATCTCTTTTTATCTGTCATTCTTCCTTCCCGAAAAGTCAAACGTACTTAACTTTGACCAGGTATATACATGAAAATTTTAGTATTTATGGTACATATAATTAATATCATTAATTAGATAGATCGTTGACTCTATTTTTATAATAAACTTATTCGAAGAGACAAATGTTGCTAATTTTTTACAAATCTAATTAAACTTAAGAAAGTTTGAACGTCGTGAGTACCATAACGACAATTAAAAAGAAACTGAGGTAGTACATGGTAACAAACGAACAGTAAATCTATCTAACTAGTGCTACGAGAAATATAAATGTTGTTAATGGATCAAGATTGTATAGACATGGGCGAAAGAAAACGAATGCTTTTGTGAATGGCAAGCTAATAATCATGATCTCACGGCAACCAGGCGCTTTAGTATAGAAATGATTTTTTTTTGGACGACTCCCGTTTTTAAAGAAACAGATGACTTAAAAAACACCCGTAACTATGGCGGGGAGCACTATAGCTCAAGAATCGTTCCTGAAAATCAATTTTCAAGGCGGTTCTGTTAAAAAACTACACCTAAAGACAGATCCATTTCATGGTCGATTTTCATAAGTGAACCACACCTAAAAATAGCATTTTCAGGGATGGACATCTTTGCCGAACCATCTATAAAAGAACCATATTACAAGGGACAGTTCTGTTAAGATAACCGTTCCTGAAAATGATTAACCCTAGAAAGAACTCCCTATAAATACTCTTCTTCCTCCTCACGACTGTAGCTGGTCATGTGTGATTGTAGCTGGTCATGACATTGTTGAGTTCACTTGGACACGAGAAATTAAAAAAAAACAGGGGGAGGGGGTTTGCCCTTTGAACCTTTGAAGGACTTGAGTTTGAGAAGTGAGTTTATGTATCCCTGTAGTCTTTTCAAAGTTTACCATACATTTCTCTCACAATTATTTTTGTCATACAGATCTAGATCTAGAGAGGCATGTTGTTTCATAATTACTAGAAGAATACCCCACACTTTGCTGCAGGACTCTCTCGAAAATAAAACTATTGCATGTATGAGATAAATCATCTACATATTCTTACATCCATTCTTACTAAATTTTGTTGCATTAAAAGATTGAAAGTTAGTGGGATGATATAACTATTAGTGGAAGATGATGTTTATGGCTTGCATGTTGAGATAGAGCATGTAGTGGGGATTAGCTTTATAAGAGATATAGATTCACTTTTGTTAGCAATTTAGACCGATTTTTTGCGCAACTTACTTGGCTCACATCAACTCTAGTTATTTTGTATAGTTACTTTGCCAATATTAAACTATTTTTTTCTATGACTACACAAGTTTTTAGATTTTTTTAGCTTTAGCTTTAGCTCTAGATCTAGATTAATATTTATATCAAAAATTTAATTAACTCTTTCACCAGTTATATGCGAATAATATCAGCTTTGAAATCAGCCAATACCACATCTTATGGAGAAATCAGCCAAGATAATGGAATATCATGAACCTAGCTGAGAATTCGTTTCGAGCATCTTGATGTCGTTTTGTCGAACATCTATGACAGCACTCCCCGGGCGGTGACCGACGGCTACAAGGAAGAAGATTCGGTAGCATCTTTTAGCAATATATCGTGTCAATCATGATAGAAATAATTAGCGAATGAAATGAGTCTTTAACTTTTAAGCCTCACCACTAGGTGCATTACTAATCAATAGACCGGTTGGTTAGGTTTTTTGGGTGAAACTGTCTACTCAGGTTCAAGTACTCGAAGTTAAGCGTGGGTGCATGTACATAGTACTGTGTGATCACACTTGCAAGGCTGGTGTAGCGACGAGAGTAGGATTCTGGCCAGCATCAGCTATTTAGCTTCATGATGAAAATAAGTGGGAAACGCTAGGGATGACGCGGTATATCTAGTTCAAAAAGCCAAGTGGTAATAAATCAACGAGTTTTTCAAGTGGCTAAAAAAGTTGCCTGGCTGGTGTAGCGACGAGAGTAATTCTGGCCAGCGTTAGCTATTTAGCCTCACGATGAAAATAAGTGGGAAACGCTAGGGATGACACGGTATATCTAGTTCAAAAAAAAGGTGGTAAATCAACGAGTTTTTCAAGTGGCTAAAAAAGTTGTCTGCATATTTGTTGGGTTCCTCCAACGGTTTTTAAAATCTCAATCCTAAAATATAGAAGACAGTTTTACATCACGAATCTTGAACTATTTCTAAATCATCCTAACCAATTTTATATTTTCTTGCTCTCTTGTATATTTGCATCAGAACCCTATCGTGCCTTTTATTGTTCCTCATATTCTTCCACCTTTAGTTTGGCGGATGGATACACTTGCGTATTTACCTGTGCAATGGGATTGTTTTCACCAACGTGGAAAGATTGGGAGTTGAGATAGAGAGTTGTTGGAGAGTAGTTTTTTTCGATTTTGCCAAAAAAAAGATTGGGAGTGGAATTTGAAAACTCTTGGAGATGTTCTAAGTCTATGAAATTTTTTCGCAGCCTAAATTATTTATTCTAATTATTTTTCAACTGAAAATAGAGGACAGGCTGCCTAGACCATCCCACAAACAGTGTCTGACTTCGCTCATTGAACATGTTCAACTAATAGAATAATGCTACAAACTCATGGATATTGATGTAACTTCACCCAAGAGTATTCCAAGTTATCGATTTTTACGATAAATATAAAATAAACTAGCAACGAATCAAGTATGTCAAGGATAACTGATAAGAGAAGATATATGATACTTTGGGTAGAGGAGAGTTTCCTAAGATTTCCCTTAAAGTTCTAAGGAAATAAAAATTAGGTCCTCACCAGATCCTATCCAACCATCAAGGGGGTGAGAAAACAAGGTAGGGCTCAGGCTGGTTGATAGGGATATCATTTCTTTGTATACACACATCACTCCTCAAGAAGGGCTAATTACAAGAGTTCAAGCATGACAATTAAATCTTCGGTTGAGCTTGTTCCTAAATATTATTTTTCATTATTATGATCATAAATTGCTATCTAATGATATTATTCTTAAGAATGATGGACAGGTAAAAAGAAGTTCATGGAGAGAGGCATGGGGGCAGAGAAGACCAATGCGGGGATTCAATTGAAGTTGGAGGCACAATCCATATATATCAAGTTTGAGTACATCTTGAACTATAGGGGCAACTGATACTAAAATTCAGAAGTGCTTGCATCCTCTTAGTTCTCGTGCTGAGTTGTATTGTTGCTTGGTTAAACTAGGTCCAGCCGAGTTTAGGCATGCGACATAAACTATCTTGGGACTACTTTTAGCCTTACAATTTATAAATTGTGCTATTGCTACTCCATGCTACCATGTTGTGCCTCCCAAGCTCAAAATATATAATTCTACTCGGATAGTTTTGACCCAGCACGCCCTCACAGATATCATAAACCAGCCACCGGTTGTGTGATCCATGGTTTTTCTTTGGCAACAACCATATAAGATCTTAATAGACATGTGAGAGTGTGTGCCCACTGTCTACATAATAGTTGATAGGGAAAATACTTTGTGTTTTCTTTTTCTATCTTCTTGCTAACAATGTTGAATCATGAGTTTGTTCTTGTGAGCGGCCTATATAGGGCTACATGGACCAGATGTTTACAAGGATGGATGAAGCCATTGCAAAGGGGGTCAATGATGTTTTTGCCAAATAGTTTGGTTCTCAATGTCATATTTTTACTAAAAATGGTGATTATTTAAAGGGGCACCTCCTTTCCGTCCTTTCTCCTGTGACTAACCTTTTGTACAGA